CACACACACACACACACACACACACACACACACACACCAGTTGCATCTAAGTTATACTACCTACTGTGTAAATATTCATTTCTTTTGAGTCTCAGTTTCTTATTTCATAAAATGAGAACAATGATTTACAGTAGTCTGGATTGTTGGAAATGTTACATTACTCAGTGTATTTGAGGGTGTCATATGCTAGCAGTGGTGAACTCAAGGATAGCACAATTGCAAGGCACTTAGCTCACAGCCCCAGCACTACACAGAAGACAAACACATCGTGAAAATGGCCAGGTGTGAAACTCCACACAGATATAAGGAACATGCCTTATTCTAGCCACCTATGACCTGAGACACCGGTAGCAGAGATGGTATCCCCAGAGAAGGATCACTTAGGGCCACCATAGTCAGCCCACCCAGTGGTAGAGGCATGTTCTTCATGGGTCTGGAAGGAGAAATGAGGGCCTTCCAGGGGACTCTTCCCCAGTTCTGCTCTTAAAACACAGATGCATCCTTCCATTTCCCTGTTTAAAATCCTTCCATCTTCCCTTGCACTCCAGGATAAAGCCCATCTCTAGTAATATGATATGTACAGCCCTTCCTTTCCATTTGTCTAGCCATAACCTCTCCTATGTACTGGTGTTCTCGACTGCCTCTTCCTACACTACATGTCCCACCATGGCCAGCTGTGTCCTGGAACCCCGTCCTGGCTTTCAGCCTCCTGAGAAGGACCCTAAATTCTGCTGAAAGCCCCCACTCTGAAGGGGGGATCTTCTTTTAGGATTTTGGGTAGCATTTTTATATCCATGCACTGTTTTCACCCAGCCAGTAAAATCCCTCCCAGGAGGAATGGTGCTGTGTTTCATTTCTACTGACTGTGAGAGTGTATCTGTGACATGCAAGCCTGCGTCTCATCTCTAGTTACTTAGACATTGGGCTTTCTTGATCGTGCTGGAGCTGTAGGTCATGGGTGAAGCTGGGAGTGTCCGAACATGTCTTCTGCTGGGCTTGCTAGGACATGATAAATGTGCGTGATAGGCTTGCCGTAAAGTGTGTTATTTCTATTGTGGTGCAGTAGCTCCGATGTAGTAACAGGAAGGTTCCCTCTGTATTTCTGTCACCTGTAGGAGAAGAGGCCACAGCTTCCTGTCTTAGAATGAGAACAGAGAGACTAAGCCTGGAAAAAGCCAACAAGGGGCCCCAGGAGTGGGGCAAACAAACATCTGTCATGTGTACCTGTGAGTGACATGAGGGTGAGGAGGGCTGCCAAGGGGTTCCGGAGGCAAAAACAAGTAACGGAGGGAAAGCATCTCGGGGAGGAGACGGTGGTAGAAGGAAAAGATGCTGGGAGGGTTAACTCAATAGTGGAAAGATACGGATGTTGGTCCCGATTTTCATGCCACTTCATGTTCCTGAGCAAACCCTTGGCTCCTCGGATCCCTCTCACCACACCTATACCCTCCATGTGCCTGAGAGGAGTCATATGAATGAATACCAGACCGTAAGCTACTGAAGTCATGCCTGCAAGGGTGATGTGGAGGCACCTGGATTAAATACCATCCATACTCCTCCCCAGCCCTACCACCTGCGCAGCTCTGTCATGCTAATTATGAATTTGTTTTTTTCCTCTCTTCTTACCCAAGGATTGCGCTGGTGACAAACAGGCAAGCTAGTGCAGTGGTGCCACACTTTCCCATTGGCTGTGTCCCCAGCATCTCTGGAGGCCAAAGCCTGAGAGAGCAGGAGACAGAGACACACAGGCCAACAGTTCCTGGTGGTGAACACAAGATGGCACCAGGCTCCCTTCCCCGCCGGGGGGCGGGGGAGGAGGGAACGCATAAACAAATGAGGGTAATGGAACATTGGAACAGATTTATACCTCAGAGAGCTTCCTGTTCAACCCTTCTGCTTCCGCACCAGAGGACCCAAGCTCTGAGAGTGGAAGTGGATCAACAAGTTTTCATTCAGGTGGCCCCAGCCTGCTACACTTTCTGAACTGGCTCTACCTTCTACTTGGGTTAGTTATAATGTCTCAATGTCATTCACCCTCAAGACCCAGAAACTGTCACTTCCTAGATTTTATAACAGTAATACTTTTTTATTTTTAAATCAGCCAGTGGCCTAGAGGCTATGATTCCTTCACTCCCTTGCTTAGGGCAAGCTCTGTCTATACTTGACTTCTATTTTCATGGCCAGCACCACTGCCTACTCGCCAGCCTGTATCTTAGGGCAACAATAAGAACGTGCTGGAAATATAACTGTCTGAGAGGGTGTGAGAATGGCATGGTGGCTCCCTGGTGAGGAAACCCAAAAGGAGGTGCAGAGTTCATATTATGCCTTGGGAAGGAGCATTAGCCATGGCCATGAACCACAGCTTTTTCAGTCTCCTGATAACAGTGCAAAAGCAGTTTGTGAGGCTCCCCCATGATTCTGGACTCAAATTGCAAGGGAAATACACAAGTTAGGTTATTGCCCCAACTGCTCCCCTGCCACCAATGAACAAAAGAAGTCTGTAGACTTTGAAGACTAGAGAGCACAGAACTGCTCACCTGCCACCAATGAACAAAAGAAGTCTGTAGACTTTGAAGACTAGAGAGCTATCAGCTTGCTCCCACCCCTGGCTTAGGATAGACACATGTAGAGATACTACAGCTGGGGAAGGGCTAGTAAGATGGATCACCAGGTAAAGGCACCTGCCACCAAGCCTGATGAACTGAGCTCAATACTGTTACCACTGCATAGTAGGAGGACAGAACCAACTCCTGTGAGTTGCCTTCTGAACTCCACACACACCTGGGCACATGAGTGTACATGCAGAGAGACAGACAGATAATAAACGAATACACACACACACACACACACACACACACACACACACACACAGA